TCGGAGATAAACCCTGAAACAACTCTGACAGGTAATCAAAAACACATTAAGGGCATTCGTCCTTTAAAACAGATACAAACACGTTATATTGGGAAATATCTGACCACTTGAAAAGTTTCCACTTTCCAAATAAAATTGCGTCAGCTACCGTAGTAGTTACATTTTTACATGATATTTTCATTCCGTAGCAATTTTTTWAWAWWATATATATATAAAATCATGAAGATTTTGCAACAAGAAAATTTGCCCGATCAAACAAAATGATGAAAAATTTATTTTGAAAGTGACCTAACTTCATTGGTCCAATTCATCTTCCGATTGTTCGTATTTACTCTTAACGATAAAGATTTTGACGTGGTAGAAATGTCATTAAAAAACAATTAGGCACCGTTCGTCTTCCAAAGATTCTTACAATATTATCAAAAAGTATCGGAAAGGGTAATAACTTAACTGTAAATGAAATGAAAACAAGAAGATTTTCGTATGAACAAAAATATTAGAAAGTGCAATTTTTCAAAGTGTACGGAATTCTAATGAAGAATCGGTAAACTGTTTAAAAATATGTTTGAACGCGTTTTGTCAGAAATGAACCGTTTCAAATTTTCTGTAAAACATTGATAAATGAGAATAAAAATTTGAAAATCCTTCATTTATTACCACGTCTGATTAAACCAAAAAATTTCGACAATATTATATTGAAAGTACTGTATAAAAATATCGGACAAATTACAACAGCAAAATTCAAGGACATAAAGGACCTACTACGACATATACCACCGGAATATCATGATTTCTTCAAACCCCTTTCACACATGCAAAATGTAAATGAGCAGTAAATTGTTTTGCAGTTGATGTAGTTCAAAAATCTTTCGAATCGCATAAATTATGTTTCTGAAGTGTTTTAAAGATATGTAAAATAAATTGAGTATTGTTTTTTTTTCAATTTGAAGCATCTTCAATTATGTTGAATGGACTTGGACACCTTCAAATTTTATAATCAATCTGGTTGTTAATTTTGAAAGTGGCTAAACTCCATTTTTGGTAAGAAAACGCATATTATTCAGTTAAGAATTCCAACTATTTTAATAGGAACTGTAAATTTGACTGCCTTAGATACACTTATGCAATATGACTCACTAATGTATTTTTAATGGCATTGAAACGCAAACCCTTCAATATTTCGATTCGAACACAAATGGAATTACACAATCCTGACGCAACTCTGACGCAACTATCGTTTACCGACTTTTAAAAACATCGTCTGTATTTTTCCACAATTTTTACCGCTAAAAGAAATAAAAAAGAAATGAAACAAGAGCTTAAGGATTTTTACAAAAGAAGAGAAAGTTGATAAAATATAAGGGTGTTGTCTGTTAGAATTCAAAATAAAAATGATTTTCAAATGCATTTCGAACAAATTGTTTAACACGTGGAATGCGATGCTAGTTTTACAGTTATTTTCCACGATGAATTTTATTATTCTGGTCACGGTCACCCGTTATACCCCCCGTGGTGTCATTGCCAAATCAAATGCCGGCTGCCGATGATTCACATTGTACATTAAACGTGTTAAAATTAAAAGTACAGTATTCATACAAATATTTCTTCCGTATATTTTATTCCCCCTAATTAAAAATGAAAAATTTCAAATTTGAAATATACATTACTTGTAATTCCAATCGTGCTGGAATTTTACATTCAGTTTCGTCCCAACTGAAAAGACTTTCTTTTCGATTGATGACGATTTTTTCTTCAGCAACTAAATAATCAAATGGAAAAATGAATCTCCAATTGAAGTTACCCTCACCGGTCAATGATCGATAATGAATGTCGGTTGATTGACAATCCTCTGGTCCTTTTAACCAACTATTACAAGAAAAACAAATATTCATAAACATAAAAACAGAAAATATATTTAATAAATAAATATATTTAATGTTATACCCTTTAACATAAATATCGCTCATCTTTTCACCGGTAAAGAAAGCATCATCTTCTAACACAACGTCATCTGTATTCCAAATGATAACACGTAACTCATAACTTTTAGGTTTCCTAGGTGATATGTCAATTGGTGAACCTGGTGAAGGCATATCCATTGGAAACATGTCCACCCACATCTCTAATTTTCCTTGTTCAATACCAGGCTTCTCAGGATTGTAAAGTGGCCGAGTTTCAACGTGTTCTGGTACTAAAGTCGAACCAATACGAGGAAAAGAATTCCATTGATGAAGTACAGCCAATGCAAGGTGTTCTTCTATACCTAAAATAAACAAAACAATAATTCAAATCAAATATATTCAGTTAATTTTAATTATATATAAATAATAATCAAATGAAAACCTTTTGAATGAACGTAAAATTCCATATCCTCGTTGGACAATGAAAATGTTTTTCTTCCAATGGTTACACGTCCATGTGAATACACAGGACCATCTACTTTACCCTCTTTGCATAATTTAGATAAAATTTGTGTTGGTTTCATAGCATCCCTCCATTTGTTATAACCCGATCTGTATACAATGTGTATAAATTATGATTAAATATTTATCATAATCAATAATACTATGACGTTACGTTTAATAATAAACTCACTCATCGTATCGTCTTGGAAAACCACAAGTGGCACGGTGCCTACTGTAAAAACGATTTTCCAAATCAATTTTTGTCTCGCCAATCATATCATCGGTACCAACTAAATCCCAATCGAGTACTTGAACCGTTAACAAGGAATCCTGAGGAAATGTTGCTTCTATTTCGAAACACCTTCAATCCCCCCCAAACCCACATCAATAAATTGATGTACATACATTTTATTTGAAGAATAAAATATATACTTACTTCCCGAATACAGGATTTAATTGTTTAGAAACATAATTTTCCTTATCACTAATCCTTTTACCACCCAATTGTAAAACAACGTAAGGATCAGCTTTACCATTAAGATCGCAAGGATGAAGATCATTGGCTTTAACAATGTATACTCTGACAAGTACGTGAATTGGTTCGTTAGATGGTACACCTTGAAAGAAACCATACTGAGGATCAAATCCCATTACTGTATGATCTATCAGATCCTTTGGTAATGGCCATTTGTATACTTTCAATGCTCCTTTAAAATATCCAACGATTCTATGCTCATCTTCAGGTTCATCACCAGTTTTTTTACCTCGATAAAGTTCAAACGTATGCAACCATTCTTTGAATTGTTCAAATTCTGGTTGGGCTTCCAATTCGTTGGGATAAATCTTGAGTAATGCTGCTTTATGTATTATCTTTCTTGGCATATGTTTTGGACTAATTTTTGACACGAATTTCGATGCATTTGACGGTGATTTCAAGCCAAACAATTTTTTACTAGGATAAACGAGACCCGGACTTTTTTCACCTGTCGTCGTTGATTGTCTAGCTTGTCCTTGTTCAAATGCATCTTCCAAAAATGCTGGCAATGTTCCATTAGATTGTGCTTGAAATATCGATTTTTCTCTTCTTAATTCTTTATTTTCCTCAATCATTGCTTCAACCGATGCAAAATATTTCGTCCACCAATCCTGACAACCATCACCATCGTCCAATATACCAACGTCATCTATAAACGTTTCAATTATTTCATTGTATAAGTTGTAATGATTCACAGAAAATATTAATTTGACTCACTTAATACAATATCGTTCATTGGACTTTGTTTTTTTCGTAAATTTTGTTCAGTTTTGTCTCGTTTAGTTTGCCAAGCACATTGTTCAAATCCTAATGTGATTATTGTATCATTGTTATTAGAACCAATATCGGATTGGGTAAAAGATTCTGGCATACTCGTTTGTTGTTGATACTTTGATCTTCCTTGTTCGAGTCCTAAAAACAAAAACAAATTAATTAATACAAAAATATGTGACATTAACACGTTGAGTGTAACGTCAGTCATTTGTGACTGACATTCAACTTCACATTCAGACCATGTCAGTCATCAGTGACTGACGTTGAATTTCACATTCAGACCGTGTCAGTCATCAGTGACTGACGTTGAATTTCACATTCAGACCGTGTCAGTCATCAGTGACTGACATTAAAATTCACATGCAGGCCGGTGTCAGGCGTCTATGCCTGACGATGAACCTCACGTTTTGCTCAACGTGTTAATTCAATAATTTAAGATAAATATGAATGATGAATTAAAAGTTCGTACATTAATCACGTTTGAAATTAAATAATGAAACTTCATAATGTGAATTGTTAATCATAAATACAAACTTTTGATTAATCATAATATATACACACATATAAATCAACAAATACATGAATAATGTTTGTTTACCGGCACATTGCAATTGATAAAGACTCTTCTTTCTCTCTTCAACGTCACGTGCTCTTTTAGTTTGCGGACAATAAGTATATTTATGAATCGAATTAATAGTATGCGTTCCCACCAACGTGTATCTTCCAAAACTTCGACAATCAACAGCTCTTATCGTTAATGGTGGCCGATAAAGTTCTTGTTCGGGTAATTCTAATTCTAAAAATTTAATAGGCGTATTGAAGTTTGGATTTTTTTTAGCATTAGCAATGACAGATGAGTACAAAATGTGACCGGCACATTCAACGTCAACCCTTGGTTTGTCCACAGTTAATAAATGTACTCTTTTTAAGTCACGTAATCCCCAAAATAGTACCTCTATCCTAAACAATAAAATATAAATAATTGTTTAGACAAATCAAGAAAATGTATGATGATTTTGGTTCATGTATCATTTTTATTAACACGTGTATCACCTGGCCCACGTGTACGTGTTCCCTAAAATGCACTTTTGTATGTAAATCGAGCTGAATTTTGTTTCATTTGAGATTGTTTCATCTAAGATTAATTATTTATGTAAACTAATGACATTTACAACATTTGAAAATGGTACAGGTAGGCTCAAAAATGATATCTTATAATAAATAACATGAAATGAACAAACATCATGTTGAACAATTGCTAATTACCTATATTTTGCTAAAGTAGGTCGTATTCCAACAGGTACTGGAAGAATAGGACCTTGATCAGGACCTGAAGGTAACATTTGTTGACATTTATCTTTTGGATCTGGTAATGTTGGAAATCCAAGATCTTTTGTAGCTGGATGTTCGAGTAATTCGAATACAGCTAAAAGTTCACCAGCTCTGCCAGCTCCTCTTGTAATTTCGTACCATTCCAAGGATGGTGGATAATTAGGTGGGACATAATTTTCTGAGGTAAGTTTAACGTGAGGTTTTGCAATAGCACGACCAATGTATTCAGATTTTCCCTGTAACGAATCGATTGAGATAATTTTCTTCTTCCTTTTTTTTTTATAATAAAGAGAAATGTTTATGAATAGTATAATTAAACAATTATAAATATAAATCAGTGCGTAGAAAAATAATAATATATGAATGTAATATACTATGTAGTATAATATTATAATAAAATTATTATTATAAATATTAATTAATATAAATAAATATAATAATAATTAGATAAATTACTGTGTAGTAATATAGTAATATATATAATATTATATTATATTTTATATATTATATTTATATATTTTATTTATTATTATATATATTATTTTTATATTATATTTATATATAGTATATTATAATAAAATTACTATTATATAAATAAATTATTATATAGTAATAAATAGTATAT